CGTATGTCCAATGAGAAAACTCTAAAGACTTTTGGTGGAGGATGAAAAGGACCCACATTCAGTGATGGGAAATGACTGTCAACAGCCCACACCCACAGCCCTGAAACTGCCAGACAGAAGCTTCTCGAACACAGAAGCCTGCTGCTCCACTGCCTGATTTCCTAGGGTTTTAAACAAGATGCAAGGTTAATCCTTACTCATGGTGCTGTTTTCCAAATCCAACACTTATTCCTCTGTACAAGGCCCACTTCCAGCCTCATCTCTCACAGCCACATCCTAAGTCCAGAAACTCACACTATTCAAGAGTCCTGATTGCAGGCAGTGCCCACCGTGACAGAACTGGTCAGTGTGGCTCTCGAGGGAAGCCCCCAGGACCTCTGCTCTCCCTGGCATGGCTGCCACTTGTCTGCTGTGCTCCCAGCTCCAATGGATAAGCGCTGTTCCCACGGGGTCAAGGAAGGCTGCAATGCTGAACATAACTGGTGTCCCCTCTTCCCTTCAGTTTCCTGTGTTCTCCACATCTGATAAAACACTCTTCCATCATCTGATCAAAAAGTCTTCCCTCCCTTAGGCATAGATGGGTTTTAGTTTCCCACAGATAATCATATAACAAAATGAATCTTAAGTATGTTTTCCAAACCCTTTTTTCAATGTTGATGTATCATAATAAACACCCCAGTGGTTAAAACTTAACACCCTTTTCTAATATACCTAGACCAACAAAATCTTAATATCATCATAGTTTATAAATAAAAACTCCCAAAGAATTAAACTTCAACATCATAATTAAATCTTCACAATTCAAAGGACAATCAAATATAATTTTCCTAGTATATCTAGCAAGGTCATGGATCATTAGCCTAATTATATTTCCTTTTTTTTTAATGCCATTTGACATTCTGTTCATTTGTTTTTTAGCCATCTATTTAGAAATGCAAAAATAATATTTTGACTAAAGAAAAACCTTTAAAAAAAGGTTATTATTGTTGCATTCTTTGAATTGACTGGGTATGCTCTACAAATAGTTTTAGGAAAAGCATCTCCAAAAATATAATGAATGTTTCAACATCTAAAGCAAATCTAGAATCCACAATATGTATGTTCATCTAACTATAGCTTTGTATTTTGATGTGAGGCTTGCAAAAGAAATGCATTATGAAAAGCAGATACTCTGTTAAAGGTTACAAAGTACCAAATGTTAATGATGTATTCCCCAAAACAGATCTAAATTGTCTTATTATAATCGGTATTTCAGATACTATTTTAGGTCTAAGAGACAAACAGAACCATCCAATCAAAACACAGCTTTGCCATGCTACAAGAGGAAAACTCAACACCATTACAAACAATTAGGCCTGTCTGATTATCATGCAGGCCATCAGCCTGTGAACACTGAAATATCCACTGACACTGATATCCATAAAATATGATAAAACATATTTTTAAATCTGAAGAGAAAGATTTGCAATTAGTAAAAGTAAGGCACAGGACTTCCCTGGTGGTCCAGTGGGTAAGAATCTGCCTGCCAATCCAGGTTCACTCCCTGGTCTGGGAAGCTCACACATGCTAGGGAGCTACTAAGCCTGTACCCCACAACCATGGAGCCCACACACAAGGATGGACCGAGCTGACGTGAGGCTGCAGAGACAGTGGCAGCAGAGGGTGAACTGAGGCCACACGCCTGCAGGCTCCCGCTGTCATGCTTCCACGGTTACCATCACTACTGCTGAAGCTGCTGTTGCTACTGTGTCTCCCAAAATATATTTTCTCAGGAACTCATCTGACACTGGATTAACTAGAAACTTCTTTCTGAGGGAATTCTGTCAAAATTATTCCAGTGTACATCCTCTCACTTTCCTGCTCATACGCTCAGTTAAACTTAATCTTTAATTGGACATGAAGATCTTGAAGTGGCTTAGGATCACTCAACATTAACAGTCACTGAGCTTGCCTGTGAGTGGCAGGACATGGGTCACATGTACTCGCTCTAGAGGGTTTCTTAAAAACCTTAAAAATGGACAGGTTTGTGTGTGTGCAATGTGTCAAATAGGGGCCTCAGGCGACACTGGTTTTTCCATCTTCCTCTTCACTCCTTGGGAGATGGGGCTGTTATTGTTACAAATCAGCAGATTGATGTTTAATTCTGACCTGGAAGCATCACACTCATTTGATAAAGGAGAACTAGGTGAAATAACAGTCTGATAAACTCCCTGTACCTTCTCAGCAAATCTCCTTATGTTTTCATAACCACAGTGAAGATGGGTGAGCTAAGACATCAGCACAGAACTTAAGCACAAGTGCCAGGAGAAAAAGTGAAAGGCTCTGTCTTGAGGTACTTGGGGGAGAAAGGATTGAGAAATACAGACACTCCATACTGCTGCCACTCGGCACCCACAGAGCATCCTCTTTCTCATCATGCCACACAGCAAGGTGTCCAGCCGAGGAACCTCCATTACCACACTGAAGACGTGTTTTCTGAGAGTTATTAAAGGCCAGAACATTCAGCCACACTTTTAGTTTCAAGAGGACAACAGATCACAAAAAATATTTTAGCTATTTTGAAGTATTTAAAGAAAACCGGAATTCTTAGCTTCCATCACATAGGAGAAGAACAGCTTGAAACACCTTCATAAAACCACATCACAGCATTAATGGTTATTAATTTCACTGGAAATAAATGTCTGCATATGGTAAGGGGAACCACATGTTAACAGTTTGAACTGTGCATGTCTACATACATCCACATTTTTTTCAATAGCAAATATTGCAGTGCTGCACAAGCTTAGGGTGGTTGCATCCATAGACATGGAACCATAGAGAGGGACCCCAAGTACAAAGGACTGACTAATTTATATGGAGATTTTCAGCTCCTCAGAGGGCTGGCACCCTTGACCCCATGTTGCCTGCATCCAGAAAATATGTTTTCCTGACACAAACTTTTAAATTGGATGGAAATTTTAAAGTAGATGGAATGGATAGATTTTTCTTCCAAACACAACACAGTTAAATAATACTAGCTTTCTTCAGCCATATAACCATTTGTAGTAGATTGGTCTCTCACCAACACATCAGAAAAAAAAATACTTTTCCTTCCAAAAACAAATCTGAAAAGCAGGGCTGAGAACAAGACTCTGGCCAAGAAGATGCTGACAAGCTCATTGGGAGTCAGGATGGAGACGGGTCCACAAACTGTCTTTAAGCTGAAGGTCAACAGCTGCATCACTACCAATGGGTACAAATGATAATCCTGGCAAAGGTCTGTCCCCATGATTTACAGAACAGGTTCATGACAGGGTGAGGTAACTGTGTTGAGATGATGCTCCACTCAAGATGTGCAGCTTGCATGCAAGGAGGCATCTCATGACAACTAGCTGAGATTGCTGTCTTCACGATTTGGACATAATCTCATTTCAGGAGACTTAAAAACTGAACATGATGCCAAAGCAATCATAAAATCCTATACTTTGAGGCATTATGAGACAGCGTCCTTATCTACATTCACTTAACAAAGAAAAGGCAGTGATGGGAGGCAGGGAGGGCAAGAATTTCATCCCATAAAATAGATGTCCCGTGTCATTCCTGTCTGCTTGATAGGTAATGGCCCTGAAGCCTAGCCCTCCATGGCATCTATGCTGCCCTGCCCATATTCCTCACCTAAACAGCTTTTCCATCACCAGTACTGTCCACGAGAAGAGACATGATGACTCAGTCTATGCATCCTATATACAAAGATGCTGTGGAAAAGATTTTTACACTATTTACCTCAATAGTATAGATACACCATATCACCCCTCAGAAAAAATGTGGTTCTCCATTTACCTTTATTCCATGACAAAGCCACCTTGACCAAATTGATTATTGTGAGATAAGTGATTCTGGCTTTAATCATTATCAGGAATAGTCATGGGTATGTATAAAGTCCTCCTCCTCCAGTCGCCTGGTTTATTTGCAGAACAAATGTTTATTCAGTGCCTACAAGGTGCAGCTTTACCATTGTTTCTGATATAAAGTCACCAGCAACGAGCTGTGTCACAATAAATGGTTCTGAAAAATTCACTGTGTCACATTTGAGTTTGCATCCCTGTCAGAGCAATAGGGACGTGTGGGGTGAGTCTGAAGTGAATACGGATGAAAACGACTCTGGGTCAAATGTCTAGCTACAGCTTTCAGGTCAGAGCAAAGGTTCACAGGACCATATCACCCTCAGTTTTCACTCATCTGGGGAGGCTGTGCCAGGAGAGTCCTGAGGCTTCAGACCTCAATTCTCACTCTTTCTTTCACCCAAAAGACAGAGCTGCTACCACCCCTCTCCAGGGTGAAAGATGCATACCACCAGCAGTGCCTTCCTTCTGAGCTCATTGTTCTGGGCTTTACTACACTTTCCTGAATGGCTGCCTTGAGAGACATACAAAAGTATTTCATGATCAAGGCCACTGTGTGGACCAGTGGGAAAATACTGTATGAAAATGTTTTCTTCCAAATGCACTTTTCTTTCTCTCTAGGACTCAAGTGTCACAGGATGCATCAAAGGATCTAACACAGAATGGAGAAGCTGGAACTGGATACAAGAGTCTCTTCTCTGTGTCAAGTTCACGGTGGTTATTTACTTAAGTTCTACAGGGCATCCACTCAGGTGTTAGAATAGGCACAAAATACCAAACACATGATTGGTTACTAAGGACTGGATTTCTTGCTTAATTTCCAGTTTGTTTCTAGACAACTAATTATAAAAACAAGCAATTGCTAAAATCTTGGAAATACGGATCATGGGGCTACAAATCAATTAGTCAGAACATGATCACTTCATGGAGATGATTATTTGCTCTTCTATCTGGGAAAATCTTACTTAACCGTATGTTCTAAAATGCTAACACCTGCTATCCGCTTACAAACTGTGGAGGGGACACAGCTCTGAAAGTGGTGTCAATGTTTTTCTCCAATGAAAGTTCACACTTATGCCCAAAATACTATCCAATTTCAGAAAACGCATGAATACTCACTTGCTTAGCCTTGGTCTTTGTGATGGTGTCAGAAATGGGTTTCTTCCTTTCCTTGACAGTAGACTTAGAAAACAATTCCTCAAATTCATGACAATCTATGGATGGCTCTTCAATTTTTTCCCAAATAAGTGAAGCACTGGAGTCTCTAAAGTTAAGCAAAAACCCATGAGAGAGCCATCAAACTGGACTGCAGGGACAGGAGGACAGAGGCACCAGAGGGGCAAGGAGAGGATGAAGGGAGGTTGGGGGTGGGGGAGATGCTCTTTTCTGTAAGATCAGCACTTGTTTACTCAACCAACATGATGAGAAACAGCATCAATACAGGATGAACCTTTGCCTAAAAAGGAATTCTTTCTGGGCATTTCCAGGAATTCTCAGTCATCAAGTCATTGTATAAAACATGTTAAGAACCCTTTTCAGTATGGCTCTCCAGGCAAGAAATGTCTGATATCTCACATTCCAACCTGACCCATAAGTTTCGTGGGTTAAAAATAAATCACTTTCTGCCTACAGAGTGGCATTTCTGTCTCCCTACCACTGTCCAGCACTCATGTCATCTGACTCCTCAGTGACCACAGAGATAGGTAGTACCACCTGAAAATGAAGGTCCATTTAAAAAAGCAAAACAACAAAATAAAAGAACTTCATACAATGTATATGGAAAAAATGAGTTTGGAGCACAGCTGGAAATGATGCCTCAGCAATTGGAAGTGACCTGGCAAAGTACTCAGAGAATGAACAGCAAAGTTAGAAGCAGTCAAAATAGACTCTCCACTATGATTTAGAGAAGAGAAAATTAATATAAGAAATGATGATGAGTCTAGTAAATATCCTATTTCTAAATCTGTGCCACATCACACACAGCCACAAATTCAGTCATAAGAACTTGGGATAAGAATATCCAGGGGAAATTTAAAGGGCATGTTTTCTCTGGCACCATCCCAGGGCTCAGGGAACCAGGTTCTGGACCATCCATGGGTAAGTAATACACCAGCAGCAAACCTGCTGGGAGGCATTTTTTATAAATATCGTGTCTTTCATAAAAGTCATGTAAGTCTGTGATTTTATGACCTCTCAGCGTTGCAAATCATCTATAGAAGTACTATGAAATGGTCAGACCTAAATCATTTCACACATGGGGTGAAATCCGCACATGTGGATTTTTCCGTATCATTTTTCTGAATAGTAAAACAAGACCATGCCTTCAAAAGGATGCAGAATACATCCTCAAGGGTTTGTCTGTTTAATGATTTGATTTACTTTTATAAGCTATTTGTCAGAGTGAGGCTTTGCAACAAGGCAACAGCTCACATAGGCCAAGAGAGATCTATCCTCCATCCTTAAAAAGTCGATTAAAAACTAAACATGTTGAGGTTTGACAGAAAACAACAAAATTCTGTAAAGCAATTATCTTCCAATTAAAAAAGAAATAAATTTTAAAAAAGAGAAATAAATTAATTAAAAAACTATATCAACAGAAATGTGTACATTGATACACATGATTTATCACTTGGATACTTCTGGGGAAAAGTCTAAAATTGCTCCACTAAATATTGATGTAAAAATCTACAGGCTAGCTTTGGAGTGGTACAGAGAAGAAACCACTTCTCTCATGTTGACAAATTACACAAAGACAAGCCCCGCTGGTGTTACCTTCTACTGTGCAGCTGAATTCTTGTCCAATATAGAGGCTTCATCGGCCGACAAGGCTCTACTGGCTGCTTCCTACTCCCTTTTTCCTGGTTCATCCCAAATCCAAACAAGCCAAGAGGCAACGGAGGAGGAAGAAAGCCACACACCTGAGGTGTCGGTAAAGTGCTACTCCCAACTTGTCGTGGGAGAGGAAGGCCTGACCCAGGAGGGGGTGGGGGCGGAGGGGTCAGAGGAGGTGGAATCCCCATACCTGGAGGAGGAGGAGGTGGGGCAGGAGGTATTCCTTCACTGGGAAGAGGTGGGGGAGGAGGGGGAGTGGGGGGTATTCCCACCCCTGGAAGAGGAGGGGGAGGAGGGATCCCCACCCCGGGAAGAGGAGGGGGAGGAGGGATCCCCACCCCGGGAAGAGGGGGGGCGGGAGGAATTCCCACTCCAGGAAGAGGAGGGGGAGGAGGGATCCCCACCCCGGGAAGAGGTGGGGCGGGAGGAATTCCCACCCCGGGAAGAGGGGGGGCGGGAGGAATTCCCACCCCAGGAAGAGGGGTGGCGGGAGGGATCCCCACCACGGGAAGAGGCGGGGAGTGAGGAATCCCCACCCCGGGAAGAGGGGGGGCAGGAGGGATCCCCACCCCGGGAAGAGGGGGGGCGGGAGGAATTCCCACCCCGGGAAGAGGAGGGGCGGGAGGGATCCCCACCCCGGGAAGAGGAGGGGCGGGAGGAATTCCCACCCCGGGAAGAGGGGGGGCGGGAGGAATTCCCACCCCGGGAAGAGGAGGGGGAGGAGGGATCCCCACCCTGGGAAGAGGTGGGGCGGTAGGGATCCCCACCCCAGAAAGAGGTGGGGCGGCAGGGATCCCCACTCCGGGAAGAGGAGGGGGAGGAGGGGGAGGAGGGGGAGGAGGGGGAGGAGGGATCCCCAACCCGGGAAGAGGAGGGGCGGGAGGAATTCCCACCCCAGGAAGAGGGGGGGCAGGAGGAATTCCCATTCCAGGAAGAGGTGGGGCGGGAGGAATTCCCATGGTGGGAAGAGGAGGGGCGGGAGGAATTCCCACCCCAGGAAGAGGGGCAGCGGGAGGAATTCCCATCCCAGGAAGAGGTGGGGCGGGAGGAATTCCCACTCCAGGCAAAGGTGGAGGAGGGGGTGGCAGCATCTCTGGACCTAGAGAAGGAGGAGGTGAGAAGCCTGCTGGGCTGGGCAGTGCAGGCCCAGGTGCACCGGGGGTCAGGGGTGCTAGGGAAGCCTCCGTGCCCAGGCCAGGCATCAGAGAGGAGGTCTCTGGAGGCAGAGGTGGTGCAGTGGGGATGTCATAGCCGTTTCCAGAGGAGGGGAAAGCAGAGTGCTCGTGGCTGGTTTCTAACCCAGTGTGAAGAGGAGGATGGGAAGGCTGGGACCTGGCCTGTCCTTGACTGTCAGACCAGGGGAGGGATGCAGGCGGTGGAGGCTGGAGGGATGGCTGTGCATCAAGCTGAACTGATATTCGCCTTGGAGACACGACCAAAGAGATTTCTGAGCAGAACTTGGTCTGAGGTCCTGATGACAAGGGCAGCCCCGCTGATTCTCCATGTGCGGTCAAGGGTGGGGGGCCCACTGGTGCGGCCCCCCCAGGAGGAAGTGCCAGCACACCACCCTCTTCCATCGGGGACGTCTGGATGGACTTGGCCTGTACTATCCTTTCATATCCAACATCCTTTTCGCCCAACCTGAGGGCTTCCAGACCCGTGTCTAGGGCGGGGTATTGCTTCTCCAGTTCAGCTATCTTGGTCTTCAGATCCTCAATGGTCTGCTCCAGCCGTTGGATGACAGTGGCCTGACCCTCAGACTTCATGTCGCACACTTCCTGGGGGGCAACACAGACATCGCAGTTAAACGGAAAATCAGGGATACTCCAAATGTCAAAAACTAGACCTACCAAACTCAGCAAAATGTATTCGTTTGTTACTTTTAAAAGCTCGCTCCATGGAAACACATTATTAGTTCTACTATGTGTCCCTTCTTCGCTGCCGTTGGATTTCAAAGTGAATTACATACATGACCATGAGGTCCTAAGGCCCTTCTCTAATTAATCTTGAAATGAAATTGTGGAAGATCAGCAGACCTCGGTGAAAAGGGAAGCAAAGACTGAGTGACAGACCCACTTAATTTCACCATAGACTACTCTCCTTCTTGCCCAGCCAGGAACATCTGCTATATGAAGACATTTCCTAAAGATATTTTAAATCCTAACATTTAAAGTTAATTGCAACTTTTACAAAGTAATCTCTATAACAGTCCCCAGTAAAATCATGAGAAATATTTGCAACATCCACATAAGCATGTATAGGCATGTCTTATGTGCATGTATAGAACTTATATCACACTTCAGTTCAGTCAGTTCAGTCACTAAGTTGTGTCCGACTCTGCGACCCCATGAATCGCAGCACGCCAGGCCTCCCTGTCCATCACCAACTCCCGGAGTTTACCCAAACTCATTTCCATCGAGTCGGTGATGCCATCCAGCCATCTCATCCTCTGTCATCCCCTTCTCCTCCTGCCCCCAATCCCTCCCAGCATCAGGGTCTTTTCCAATGAGTCAACCTTTCGCATGAGGTGGCCAAAGTATTGGAGTTTCAGCTTCAGCATCAGTCCTTCCAATGAACACCCAGGACTGATCTCCTTTAGGATGGACTGGTTGGATCTCCTTGCAATCCAAGGGTCTCTCAAGAGTCTTCAACACCACACTTCAAAAGCATCAATTCTTTGGCACTCAGCTTTCTTCACAGTCCAACGCTCACATCCATACATGATCACTGGAAAAACCACAGCCTTGACTAGACAGACCTTTGTTGACAAAGTAATGTCTCTGCTTTTTAATATGCTATCTAGGGTTGTCGTAACTTCCCTTCCAAGGAGTAAGCGTCTTTTAATTTCATGGCTGCAATCACCATCTGCAGTGATTTTGGAGCCCCCAAAAATAAAGCCTGACACTGTTTCCACTGTCTCCCCAACTATTTCCCATGAAGTGATGGGACCAGGTGCCATGATCTTAGTTTTCTGAATGTTGAGCTTTAAGCTAACTTTTTCACTCTCCTCTTTCACCTTCATCAAGAGGCTTCTTAGTTCCTCTTCACTTTCTGCCATAAGGGTGGTGTCATCTGCACATCTGAGGTTATTGGTATTTCTCCCGGCAATCTCGATTCCAGTTTATGCTTCTTCCAGCCCAGCGTTTCTCATGATGTACTCTGCATATAAGTTAAATAAGCAGGGTGACATATACAGCCCTGACATAATCCTTTTCCTATTTGGAACCAGTCTGTTGTTCCATGTCCAGTTCTAACTGTTGCTTCCTGACCTGCATACAGATTTCTCAAGAGGCAGGTCAGGTGGTCTGGTATTCCCATCGCTTTCAGAATTTTCCAGTTTATTGCGATCCACACAGTCAAAGGCTTTGGCATAGTCAATAAAGCAGAAATAGATGTTTTTCTGGAACTCTCTTGCTTTTTCAATGATCAAGTGGATGTTGGCAATTTGATCTCTGGTTCCTCTGCCTTTTCTAAAACCAGCTTGAACATCTGGAAGTTCACGGTTCACATATTGCTGAAGCCTGGCTTGGAGAATTTTGAGCATTACTTTACTAACGTGTGAGATCAGTGCAATTGTGTGGTAGTTTGAGCACTCTTTGGCATTGCCTTTCTTTGGGATCAGAGTGAAAACTAAGCTTTTCCAGTCCTGTGGTCACTGCTGAGTTTTCCAAATTTGCTGGCATATTGAGTGCAGCAGTTTCACACTTAACTACAATTCAAATATTTTATTCAAGGCATTTCAGAAAGGGATACCTTTGGTTGCCACAATTTATCACAATGGCCAAGAGCAACTGCACCCATGTGTGGGTCACCCTCAACCCTACACAGTATCTTCCACTCCCAAAGCATGCCATCAACCTTTCAGGGAAAAGGACTTTGAGTTGAGAAAAGGGGAAAGCTCTCTCGGTAAACTGACTGCCAATATCAGATGAGTAGGAACAAAAGAGGAGGCAGAGGAGTGGGCAGAGAAAAATGAGGAAAGCAGGAACAGGAGAAGGAAGAAGAGGGGACAGACCCCAACTGAGTGAAGTGCAGGTCAGAAACCTGATCACACAGGCTCACCTGTCCCCCATCGAATCGGGGGTGAGAGGGCCCAGGACTGCTTCTCCAGAGCGTCCAGGGCTTTTCACACAATACCCCAACAAGGGCCACCATCCATGGCATGGACATGTTACTACCTTCCCCATGTGGGGGCCAGGCCTGCTCTTAACCTACCAATTGAGAGGTGATACAAAGATAATGCAAAGTATGAAACTAAACTCCTGTCCTGCTTGCCAAATGCTAAATCCAAAAAAAGTCTCCACAAAATAAAAAATAACTTACTTTGCTATTTTTTTTTAATTCAAAACAAACATATAACCCATTCACAGTGGAAAAGCTGCAGACAGACAAGACAGAAATGGGTATTTAAAAAGATGAAGCATTTTTGGTGCTATGCGTATATTTATTTAAAATCTTCACAGGTAGTTTCTTTTTGCATGGGGGTAGGGAAGTTATTGGAGAAGGGAATGGCAAACCACTTCAGTATTCTTGCCTTGAGAACCCCGTGAACAGTATGAAAAGGCAAAATGATAGGATACTGAAAGAGGAACTCCCCAGGTCGGTAGGTACCCATTATGCTACTGGAGATCAGTGGAGAAATAACTCCAGAAAGAATGAAGGGGTGGAGCCAAAGCAAAAACAATGGATGTGACTGGTGATAGAAGCAAGGTCTGATGCTGTAAAGAGCAATATTGCATAGGAACCTGGAATGTTAGGTCCATGAATCGAGGCAAATTGGAAGTGGTCAAACAGGAGATGGCAAGACTGAACGTTGACATTCTAGGAATCAGTGAACTAAAATGGACTGGAATGGGTGAATTTAACTCAGATGACCACTATATCTACTATTGTGGGCAGGAATCCCTTAGAAGAAATGGAGTAGCCATCATGGTCAACAAAAGAGTCCAAAATGCAGTACTTGGATGCAATCTCAAAAACGACAGAATGATCTCTGTTCATTTCCAAGGCAAACCATTCAATATCACAGTAATCCAAGCCTATGCCCCAACCAGTAACGCTGAAGAAGCTGAAGTTGAACGGTTCTATGAAGATCTACAAGACCTTTTAGAACTATCACCCAATAAAGATGTCATTTTCATTATAAGGGACTGGAATGCAAAAGTAGGAAGCCAAGAAACACCTGGAGTAACAGGCAAATTTGGTCTTGGAGTATGGAATGAAGCAGGGCAAAGGCTAATAGAGTTTTGCCAAGAGAACACACTGGTCATAGCAAACACCCTCTTCCAACAACACAAGAGAAGACTCTACACATGGACATCACCAGATGGTCAACACCGAAATCAGATTGATTATATTCTTTGCAGCCAAAGATGGAGAAGCTCTATACAGTCAGCAAAAACAAGACTGGGAGCTGACTGTGGCTCAGATCATGAACTCCTTATTGCCAAATTCAGACTTAAATTGAGAAAGTAAGGAAAACCACTAGACCATTCAGGAATACATAAATCAAATCACTTATGACTATACAGTGGAAAGGAGAAATAGATTTAAGGGACTAGATCTGATAGACAGAGCGCCTGATGAACTATGGAGAGAGGTTCGTGACATTGTACAGGAGACAGGGATCAAGACCATCCCCATGGAAAAGAAATGCAAAAAGGCAAAATGGTTGTCTGAGGAGGCCTTACAAATAGCTGTGAAACAAAGAGAAGTGGAAAGCAAAGGAGAAAAGGGAAGATATTCCCATTTGAATGCAGAGTTCCAAAGAATAGCCAGGAGAGACAAGAAACCGTTCCACAGTGATCAATGCAAAGAACTAGAGGAAAACAACAGAATGGGAAAGACTAGAGATCTCTTCAAGAAAAATAGAGATACCAAGGGAACATTTCATGCAATGATGGGCTCAATAAAGGACAGAAATGGTATGGACCTAACAGAAGCAGAAGATATTAAGAAGAGGTGGCAAGAATACACAGAAGAACTGTATAAAAAAGATCTTCATGACCCAGATAATCACAAAGGTGTGATCACTCACCTAGAGCCAGACATTCTGGAATGTGAAGTCAAGTGGGCCTTAGAAAGCATCACTATGAACAAAGCTAGTGGAGGTGATGGAATTCCAGTTGAGCTGTTTCAAATCCTGAAAGATGATGCTGTGAAAGTGCTGCACTCAATATGCCAGCAAATTTGGAAAACTCAGCAGTGACCACAGGACTGGAAAAGCTTAGTTTTCACTCTGATCCCAAAGAAAGGCAATGCCAAAGAGTGCTCAAACTACCACACAATTGCACTGATCTCACACGTTAGTAAAGTAATGCTCAAAATTCTCCAAGCCAGGCTTCAGCAATATGTGAACCGTGAACTTCCAGATGTTCAAGCTGGTTTTAGAAAAGGCAGAGGAACCAGAGATCAAATTGCCAACATCCACTTGATCATTGAAAAAGCAAGAGAGTTCCAGAAAAACATCTATTTCTGCTTTATTGACTATGCCAAAGCCTTTGACTGTGTGGATCGCAATAAACTGGAAAATTCTGAAAGCGATGGGAATACCAGACCACCTGACCTGCCTCTTGAGAAATCTGTATGCAGGTCAGGAAGCAACAGTTAGAACTGGACATGGAACAACAGACTGGTTCCAAATAGGAAAAGGATTATGTCAGGGCTGTATATGTCACCCTGCTTATTTAACTTATATGCAGAGTACATCATGAGAAACGCTGGGCTGGAAGAAGCATAAACTGGAATCGAGATTGCCGGGAGAAATACCAATAACCTC